TGTGTTTTTATAATAATAAGTTATATTGTGTATAACACACAAGTCTATAATAAAGTACAAGTGCATAAGGTCTATGTATGCACTGCATTTTCTATATGAACCTATTACTAAGCTAAGGGTTACAATATTTTTATTTCGTTCCCTACTTTCATATTTAGGATGAATATAGTTTTATATCCGCCTAAAAAAAGGTGATTTTTGGGAGTTTATATTAAAAAAACTACATTATCAATCATTTCAAAATTTTAGGAATATATTTATACATGTTTTAAGAATACATAGTAAAAAAAATTTTTGAAGAAAAAATTTGAATATTTTTTAAGTTATCGTCGATCTCGAACGAAGCGACAAAAAAGGCTCTTTACTGCTGCAGTGATTCCGGCCTTCTACGTGGATGAAATTTAAAAAAAAATCTCGTTAAACTAGATAATATTGTCTGTAAAATGAACTACGATAAAGAAAACAAATCAAAAATTGACAAAATGACGGCGTTTTTTTAAAAAAAGTCGAATTTTACTCAAAATTTTGGTCGTTTTTGGACTGCCAAAATTCGATTTTTGATCCGATCAAAAAATCGATAGTTCATTTGACTATATATAGAACATGTAAAAAAAATTGATAGTGATCGGATCGGATCATTTGTTTTTGAGTAATCGCTGCAGCAAATTCGGAAAATGCTGTTTCGAAAAAAACGCGTTTAAAGATAAAATGATCGTTATACTATATACATACTATATATATACTCTTCAAATGGCTGTAACTCAAAAACTATTTAAGATATCAATTTAAAATTTTGGTATGTTTGATAGGTATTATCTATCAAAATATGGAAAAATTGAAAATTCGATTTTTTGAAAATTTCACATTAGTTGTGCCCCTTAACAGAAGTTAAGTATTGATTGAAACATATCGACTAAGGATTGAAATATATGTATTCATACTGAATAGTAAATTTCATAATATATCATCTGATTTTAATTCAAAAAAATCATTAAAAAAATATTCAATATTTAATTAATGATGCAGGTTAAATATTGCAGAAAATCAGGCAATCGTGGTAATCATCTTTCATGGTCGGAAATCGATATAGAATTTGTAAGACTTCTACATTTTGGACATAGTATTTAATTTACCACCATGTATATATAACATGGTCAGATTTTGGTTTAATTATTATTGTCGCTATAATTTACAAAAATTCGAAGAAATTTCGTAAGCAATTCCCACATCAATCGGTCAGAAATTGAATATCAAGCATAACAATTCGGATAATTTATAAAAAAAATGATAAAAATACCATGATTTTTATATTCATGAATGTATTCAAGTTATATATTTTATTATCAATATTAATTCACAATAAGAATTATAAAAAATATCGTTTTCATATTGTATCTTTGAACATTTTAGGAAGCGACGTTCAAGATTTGTACTAGATATGATAATGTTTATCTACCTTACAACGAAACAATGAGCATTATCATAACGAAAGAGTATTCTACACTCTGGCGTTTAATATGATTTAAACTAGTTTAGATTTATGCAGAAAAGATAATTGAAATCATATTACAAAAATATCAACAAAATTCAGTTTTAATATAACAACAGTAATGTATTGTTGAATTTAAAAAAAATATTTTTAAAAGAAAGTGGAAAACATCAATTTCATAAAATGATTTCACTTTGGATTAGATTTTATTCATTTCAATTAAAATTACTTTGGATTAGATTTCAATCATTTCAATTAAAATTACTTGTTACATTTAAACAATATAGACATCACATTATTCTATATCACATTTTGGACCATTTTGGTAAGTCAATATTTTATAGCTCGATTGTAGCTCGATAATCGAAAATTGATAAGAGAAAATAAATCTATTTTAAGAAAGCATTGTAACTTGAATAACACACCGCAATGATTTATTAAAGGATTCAAAAATCAGTAAAGAAAAATTAAAAATTAATTACGAAGATTATATATTACAAAAAATCATACGTAACATCCATTATCATTCTTGGTCCAAAATTAATGCACGATATACAAAACATTTACTAGTATTTGGAAAAGACAAAAAATTTGAAAAAATAATGAATATTATTTAAGATCGGTGAATGCTTGGGCACTCCATACTTAGTTTAAACTCAATTAATGAATAGATGTAAAAATAATGATGAAAAGTAGGCTTTTATTCGAAAGAAAATTTCATTACAAATAAATAAAATTGGTAATGGAAATACTAACTTTTTTACTATATTGACTATAATATTTTATTAACTAATATTAACGTTTGCAGCGGAAATATTTGAAAAAATTAATATATTTCCATTATTTTCTATTATGGTAATTTAGTATGAAAGGACCCTCATATTTCAGATTGCGGCTCGTTCGGATGTATTTTATGTGCGCTTCCCTATCGTAGTGAGGGTGCGAGCATCGTCGCCGAAATCTCCTGTGACACAGCATTCATAGAATCGAATTAAGAGGATTATGGACATCATAAATTTTTTCTGCGGATATGCAAAATTTTATATGTCCAACACGTGCCAGAAAATATTCTCTGGATAGAATATAGATAAAAAAAATTGATTATATTAAAAAAAGAGTGCGCGTAAGGTTCACACGCAATTAAAATAAAACTTATTTGCTACTGTACAAGATGGTATTTAAGTAAAAATAAATACATCATATAACAATTTTGAATAATGGTTATTAATAATATGGTAACACTCGTGATGCACACATTTATTAGTGTCAACCATCAAATACATTTATATAATGATACATTATAAATTATAATAGCATTAAAAATATGTATAATATTTAAAAACAATAATGTAATTAAAGTCATACTTCAAATACGACATGATCGGTTTGTCATTGTAATTAGCATTTAGAAATGAACCTTCATTAGAGAAATGAAGTAATTGCTGATTAATAAATTCTATAATAGTCGTTCATATAGTGGACCATGTTAAACAACGGTTAAACAAGTATTGTTTTAGCAACTTCACTCATCATGTAATTGTGTTTGAAGAACTTCATGTAATTGAAATTAACATACATTCATTGGCTACTTGTATTTTTTTCCTTTTCCCTGGCGATATAATCCCATTCTTTGAACAGTTGTAATATCTGTCTTGCCTAAAAAATATTTTGCATTTTAATAACTTCAAAGATTTATAGAAACTACGAATAATATAGAAATCATTTGTAATCAATAAACATACGTTTATTACACGGCACAAATGCTTAATTTGTTTTATTAATTTTAAGGAACAGGATAAAATATTCTTCTGATTCAGGCATTTTTCATTAAATCAAGATTTGTACTACGATGTAACTTTAAAATGTTTATTTATCTATGCCGATTTCCTTGCTAATATCGGAACGCATACAACGATGATGCCGGTACGTATACAACGACAGATCTCTACTCACATACACGACGACTAATCACAATCGACCTGAAATGATTTCATCGAAATCGAATAACGTGCAGTTATTCCGTAACGGACTTCCGTTGCATTTGTACGGATTTACACCCTAGTCGCGCCTAAAAAAGTTTTACTTCAAAATCAACATCCTTTTAATCTAAGATTACAATTTATAGTCAGGATTTATATATGCTATTGATACGCCCCGATGTGATCTTTTCGAAGTAAAATTTAATATCCTTGCCCTATGGGATGCACTCACTACTGAGTAAATATTCCACAATCTGATTCCCACAAATTGAATTCTGTGCGAATTCAGTAAAAATACAAAATGTAGAAGGTGAACGTTGATCATATGTTATCAAATTGTGTTTATTTTATTTGATTCATCATTTCATTTGGATGAAGTCATTAATCATTATATATATTCCTAACTAGAGTAACCGAAATAGGATTCAAATGAGTATAATATACAAAGCAAACAATTTGAATGAAACTTTTTGTCACAAAAAGACAGTTTTATAATTTACAAAGAAACGACATCAATTATCAAGTGGAATAAAAAACAATTGGATTACTAAAATGGCTATTACAAAATAGCATATTGTAGTGGAAGGGTGAATATTTTATTTATTTATTTGCTTGTACTTAATCCTTTTCGATCAAAATAAATTTGTAGATGGGTGTCGTAGAACTCTGAATTATTTTCACTCGATAGACCAGAATATGGCCAGTTTAGGATGTGTAAACTAGTGGGGTGCATGGCATCGAGCCTTAAGGCAAATTGCTGGAACTTCCCGTACCGTAATTTAACATTCGAAGAATAAAAATAATCAGGTCGGGCGGAGTCATATCGCGCGGAGTTATATCAGATATGATATAACCGGTCGGATACGACTTCGGTCGGATACGACTCCGGTCGGATACGACTCCGGTCGGATACGACTCCGGTCGGATACGACTCCGGTCGGATACGACTCCGGTCGGATACGACTCCGGTCGGATACGACTCCGGTCGGATACGACTCCGGTCGGATACGACTCCGGTCGGATATGACTCCGGCAGGATATGACTCCGGTCGGATACGACTCCAGCCGGATATAACTCCGGACGGATATGACTCCAGTCGGATATGACTCCGCCCGGATATGAACGTAATAGAAATAAATGCATCATTCATCTTTAACAACAATTTTTTCTATAGTGTGAATTTTACTTACACATTTTAAAGCAGCCACCAATTTTTAAAATTATTAACCATCCTAATCAATCATATACGAGTAAAATGAGTAAATTTAAAACGGTTATATAATAATTAAAAATATCAAATAATATTAATTGTAAAATGAGCAAATCACAGTGATGAAGAATCTGTCCTGATAAAATGTAAGTGGTATAATTATGCAGATCATTCTTTCTCTTTCGTGGCTATTTTATATAAGAGATAAGAATCTGTTAAATAATTTAATATTAAACAGAACACAAGAAATTAAATATTCATCAAAATGTAATAGCAAAATATATGGAAATACATGCAGTGGTTAAATTAATCTGGACTCACCCAATGCGCCATAGTTCCCATGATAAAATTCACCTGCTTATTGTTGATCTTCATTAATCACGTAATACACTGCAAACAAAGTTGCTTCGAATGTGCCAATTTTTCATAATATAGTTTTACCATTGTTCCACAAATAAATGTCTGATTTTTCACATTCAAACAGCACTATCATTAATAAATTTTTGTACGAAATAGTTCATAACTGCACTGATTACATTCTAGACAATACTTGATATGAGCACATGATTTATTACTGACGATTAATAACAACGACGCTGACAGCAAGGTGTGAGCGATGCAACTGACAAGCTAACCTTCTGTTAAGTTTCGGCCATTTTGTTGTTGTTAGGCTTCCCCACCTGGTGGAGCAAACGGAGCAGCCATCTTGGTTTAAATTTAATGGAAGCATAATCAAACCTTTTGATTATTTCATGTATATCATATTTTGATCAAACCTTTTGATTTTCATGTATATCATATATGTATATTTTAGCTATTTAGATTAAATATAAGATTGCTATTTCGTTGAGAATTTCATCATTGCACATCTAGAATAAAATAATTAAAACGTTTTTTATTCAGAAATTTATTCTATTGAAAGGGGTATTTAAGAAATTTAATAAGGTTGAGGACAAAATTCACCTACTTTGAGAAATGTATTTAACATTTTCAAATTATCATATTTTATTACAAATTTTATTATTTTACCCAATACTTAATGCGTTCTCTTATTCGTAAAATAAAGATTTTCATACCCGAGACATTTATTTCTTATAAAACTCATAACGACATTCTTCGTACATTCGAAAAGTGCATATATCGGTTTTCCATACTTATATTAGCATGCAATGCCGGAGAAGAATATTGCGGCACATAACTTTAAAAATGTTTCTCAAACCACACAAAATATCTTGGTTTTATCACTTTCATTAAATAATCGTTCTTAAAACGTAGGTAGCAAATTACGCAAGTTTACTAGATTTTGAGAAAGTAAAAAAACATTGTTTTATTAAACACATTTGTTTAATTAATTATAAAAGTATAAGTACAGTTATTAAACAAAAACAATAATATCAATAAGTAAAAACATAAAAATCATAGTCAGATTATATAAATCTAAAAATATGTATATTTTTTATATATCTGGTATAGAATTAGATCCCCAACATTGTATCAATCATCATAAAATTGCAGCTGCTTTGGTATAATCGTTTACATAAATATAATAAAGGCAAGAAATTAAAACTCTTCTTCAATATCTGAAATAAATGTATAAATTATTATACAAATTCTAAGAATGGTGTTTACTTTTACAAATGTATACCTTGTTCCAAAATTTAGAATCCATGCAGTGCTATCGTTAACATTGGGCATGTTAGTAATATAAAAATAGAATTTCTATCTTAAATTTAGTGTGATTTTTAAAATTTAGACGAAGAGTTTAAACTAGTTAGAAACCACAGCCGGAAGGTAATATTTTAAATAAAATTATATTTATCATTAATAACCACTTCGGTTGCTTTGAACAAAATATACAATTTAACAATTTAATATTAAAAAATATATAAAAAATGATCACTAAATATTATAAATGTAACTTTTATCAGTAAAGCAAAACTATATATTTCATATATTTCAAGTCAATATTCAAATTTGAAAATTCTGCATATACCTAATAAACGTGAAAGAAGATATAAAAAATTATATGAAAGAAAAATATTTTTGCAAAAGATACATTAGTAATATATAATTATTTATATTTTTCATTAAATATATTTGTGATATAATAAATCTTGTTAGAAAACCATTTGACACATGGCAGACCTTATACTGATGAGAGAAAAAAAAAAAATTATATATAATTATGTCCTTTATATTATTTCATATAGTTTTTTGTTTATATAGTACTTGATAAACTATTTGGTCTGATAAGTTATTTTATATAATACTTTGCAACAGGATTAGATTAAAGATATAATATAGATTATAATATCTGTTTGTCTAATAACAATGGGTATTTAAAAAGTAAACTACAACTATTGACTAAAATCATTGTTTAAAAAAAGCATTATAAAAGTGATTTTCATTGATTGATATGAACGATTTGATTTGTTAAAATATTTACTTTTATTATACTTTTATAATAGTGAAGTCTCATTTACATACATCAGCACTAACACGTTATTAATGATTGATTTATTTTGGCACGTCTAAGCATCCTGATGTTTGTAAATAATATTTTGTAAAGCCATATGACATTCAGGGAAGGAACATTAATAATAATCACAAATTTATTATATATATATCATAAATAGCAGGGCAGTTTTCATCATAGAAAGCTATATCATTAGTCAATATTTAAAAAAGCGGATTATAAAAGAGTTGGGTAAATGTATATATTTATACTATAATTGTGATGATATATGTGTGCAAAATAGCTTAATTATGAGAGATCATCCAGTAATTACGAAAAATCACAACAAATTTGGAAAAAATGAGACATACAAAGTTAGTTATTTTTGCTCTTAGATGTGTCATAGAAAAGAAAACCGAATATTTTTTGAGATTTGTACAGGATTTGAATAATCAAAAATCAAAAATCACGTAATTTATAGATGGTCTTCCTTTTAAAAGGCAGATAAAAGCGTTCGCGTATACATGAGAATAATTTTCGCGAGATTCTTTTACATTTTTTGCAAAAAATTTTAAGCAAACACTATTAATGATAATAAATCACAACATTATTATATAATATATAAAGTAATATAAATATACTATAACTAATAATTTCATAAGGGGTCACACTTTAATTGCTATAGATAATATCTATTTTGTCACAATCAAATAAAATATATATTAACTATTTAATAAATTTTAAAATAATTTACAGCCATCAAAATTAGCTCTATAAAAAAAACTAGTTTGTCCAGTTAATTATATTACATCTGATTGATAGATTTTTTAATAATAATCAA